GCAATAAAACTGTCTCCAATGTCTTTCAGAGAAAGAAAAAGCTAATGCAAATAGACGAAAATATAAACAAACAACACAGCGAACATGTGTATCTATATGTATATTCAAGTTCACTACAGTGACTCATGAATTTCTGTGCGGTCATTAGCGCACGACCTATCACAATGGTGTACATTATTGTACAATTTGTACATTTTTCCATTATATCTGTAAGATAACCGTTTTTAGAACAATAATGATTGTTGTATAATTTCTCTTGTTCGTATTTCTTTGATCGATAATCATAACACGTAAGTATTATCATCTTATGTTATTGTTTGAACTGATCATGATGAAGAATTATTTTGTTTGGTTCTTGCAGGTAAAAATTCGTGGATTTGTTTTCTAATCTCTTTTCCTAATTAGGCTGTAGGTAGTTCTTAAAAAGTAATATTTTATTAACAATGTGCTGTTTTATTTTATTGTGTATTCCCAGTATTAATTTAATTTTCAATAGTATATATTATATAAAGATATTAGTTGATTTTACTCACATATGTATACTACAAAACGTTAGAAAAAATTTTCATGTCCCAACTTCTCTTTGTTTATTATTATTATTATTTATTTTTCTTCATAGATACCTCCTTATTTCATTTCAATGCTGATCATTACACCCCTTTTAAAATAATAAAAGAAAAATAATATTCTTCATTTAAACTATTCGATTTTTGAATACTAAAAGTTCATCACGACGCGCACTGCTTTGTGCTCTCATGAAATACTAGAGTGACTACTACAATGACTCGAGACGTACCTTTTACGTAAATCTACAAGATAAACAGCATTTTATTATTCGCCAAATAACAACACTGATATAAAACTATACTTTATAATAATTATGTCTCAAATAATTGTACTCAAGCAAAGAATCAAACTAAATAAATATACACAATAGTGCCTTTGTACTGCAGTCTATGCCAGAGCGCGGTGCACGGGAGACGTTTCCAAAAATGTGCTAAAAATAATTAAATTACAAACTAATAAATAATTATTTTTCAATTCTAAATAATTATGTGGCGTACTAAAATTGTTCTAGATAATTATTAGTGAAATAGTTCTTTGAAATTATAATTTTTTAATATTTATTTTTAATTTGGATCTGTGATTTATTTTTTAAGTAGAATCAGTGAAATTGTGGGGCAGAAAATGTTTTGATATTATTTTGTGATAGCAGGTAAATATATTTTTGTATTTATTTATTTTATTGAATAGTTTGTGTTGCGTGTGTGTGTATTGCGGTGTGAATGTGGTTCAGAATCATAATTTAATCCATGGTGTAAATTAAATATCGAATAGGTAAAGTCAGGCCGGGCAAGGGGTCTCGGGTGTGATTCCCGGGTAGGGCCAAGTATTACTGGGTTTTTAAAAAAAATCTTAGTAGTAGCACGGCGTCTGCAATTGTTTCCGGTATATGAGAATAGGCTCACCCCCTATTACATGGGACTCTTAACATAAATAGTGAAAAGTGGGTGTTACATTGTACAGTGTTATACATGGGATAAACAGGAATTATATTCTACGCGGACGAAGTCACGGGGAACAGTTAGTGAGGAATAATTCTAGCAACGCACCGGTGGGAAACTTGATCATTTGCTTTCTATTCCGTAAAAAAACTAATAAAATCCACTCTTAATATTTATACTGACATCACACACTATCGGATTATCAATCATCAAAAATATGTATTCACAAGAATAGCATATTTAGTAAATTACAGAATTGTGAAGATTCTTCTTAATATATCAACAGGTTTAATTATTTTCGTAATTAATGTGACCTGAGTTATTAAATTATTACGTTAAAATATACTTAACACTATAGTAAATGAGTTTTTAATTGATAGACTGTTATTTATTATGTACTTCAATATTTATTACAATCAATCATTCTGATATTAAAAAAATATTAACGCAATGAAAAGCCGCTCTAGGTAAATGAATTTGGACTGATATATTGGTAAAAGGGCAGGTGTAAGTATTATATTGTAAGTGGGAATTGTATGACCAGGTATATAAAGTAATCTCAACGGTCCTGGTTGCCAGGATCGACTGAGACCTGTTTCTGCCAGCAGTAGTTAAGGCCGGCAGAAACAGAAAACTGCAGGGAAGAGGCTTTCTTTGACCGTAATGCCCCAAAAGGGGGCTGCTGAGTGGTCAAAGTCAAAGTCAAAGCATTTATTTCAATTAACTCGTCGAGTACCGGTTTTATAGACACAATTAAAGAACAATAGGTCGCGGTCACCGGTGACCGCTTGGTGTTTGACAGTTTAAACCATAATTTGATACTTTTGAAGCGTCAACAAATACAAAATAAATAATAGTCTGTCTGTCAGTCCATCAGTGAAGCTAGGTGCTCATGCCAAAATGTAGATTCGAAAGAAGAAGAACGAGCAAGAAACTCCATTCGTTATTATTTTTAAAAAAGTATGTGGGCTCGTGAGAGCGCTGATTCCGCTCGTAGCAGACGTTGAGGAGGTAACCGTGTTGACGCCTAACACGCCTCAATCCCGCTTGTATGAACTGCAGGCGCACTTTTGGGGTCACGAGTGCATAGGGTGGGGCTCTAGGTGCCCATCCAATGGCCTTAGGGAACTCGATAGCATAGTGGTCACGGGCCGGAGCTGGTCTTTTTCAGAGGACCCGGTGCTCGTTAAAGGTGCAGACAGTTTCCACAGGGATCATTTAAGTGAGGTACAAATCCATGGATATAATAAAGATCCATAGATTTAATATTTCTATGTACAAATGCCACATTCACTAGTCTAGTTTAGAAGGTTTCCCCGCCAAAAAAAGATGTATAAAGTGATGGAACCTGAAGAAGTATGCAACGCGTTTCTTGGTATCTTTCAACCCCTTTGTAACACAAAGAAGTAAGTTTATTATGTTTAACTAAAGAGAGTCATTAGTTAGCAATATCTATTCAACCTGATCCTACCTTTCTTAATGATAAATATACTAAATAGACATAGTTTTGCTATTTATAACTAGATAAGTTAGTTGTCAGGAAGGCAGGAATATTATCTCAAAGAAAGATTCTTTCACATCTGACATCTGAGTCATGCTTCGAAACAAAAACTGAAGTTCAAAATATTTTACTTATCTTTTTATGGTATAAGCCGGTAAACGAGCTGACGGATCACCTGATGGTAAGCAATCGATGTCGCCCATGGACACCAGAAGCGTTATAAGTGCGTTACTGGCCTTTTGGGGATTAGGAGTTTGAAGATTGTTGGGGATTCAGAGATTGGGAAGATTAGGGAAGGGAGGGAGCGGTAATTGAGCCTCCGGTAACCTCACTCACACGAAAAAACACAACGCTAACTAGAATGTTTTCTGTTTGGCCGTGGTATCACTCCAGTCGAGCCGGTCCATTCGTGCCGAAGCATGGCATTTCCACACTTTTTTATCTTAGAAATAACAGCCAATAGTCAGTTGTCAAAAGCAACCCCTATGTTATTTTAAAGAAAGCTTAAAAATAGTAATGTTAAATAAAATGAAGCGGCAAAAATTATTGTCAAAACCTTCCATACACAAGCAACTATCGGGAGATATACTAAATTGGACTAATTGAAGCACCCGTTTCATTTCAAGCGTATACACACACAGGCAAAAGATGAAGAAATTGTGTCACACCGATGCAAAATTCACGCGGGAATTAATTTGAAATAAGAACTTAGCTTTTAAATATGTGAATAAACTGCCAGTTACGCTGATGTTGTAGTCTATGGCCTTTGAGGACTTATTATAAGGACCACTATTTGACTGCATAATAATGGATATATACTTACTGGACGTAATTTATTATTGACTATCATATAAGTAACTATATAATTTTGAAATATTGTGACATCAAATTCATATGTTTATCTCTGATTTAGTAATAACTATTATTGTACAAATTGCTGACTTTAATGAAATTGAATATTATAGTCTTTATACCTGTAAAATTTGTACGCCACTATTAGCGAAACATGGACTCACAACAAACTATTTAATATCTTGCATGTCTGATTACTCAGTTTATGTAAACGCATGTTTGACAAATAAACGATATTTCTTTCTTTCTTTCTTTATCTAAAATGGTCTACTTTTTTTCAGATTTTTGGTACTAACTACTACGCTAAGTAGGTAGATTTGAGATCGCATTAGTCTGTTGACTGCTGATACCTGACATAATAGAAAATATTTACGTTATGTCTCGCGTAGATCTACATAGGACCTGTTTCGTCGACTCGCGACTTAGTCCATGTCGAATATGATTCGTGTTTAATAAAACCAATACAAATGGAATGCCATTAGAGCATTTAATCAGGATAAAAAGCCCTATCACCTAAGTCAGACCATACCCTGTCTGTATACCAAATTTTATCATAATCCGTTCAGTAGTTTCAGCGTGATTGATGGACAAACATCCAAACAAAGGAACTTTCATATTTATAATATTAGTATGATTGTTATTTACTGTCAAAATGTGTTAGTTCTCAATTTTCTTAGTATTAGTTAGAAGGGGAGGTTGAAATTTATTTAAATTGGACGAAGTAGGTCTCCTGATTGTGAAAATGCTTAAATTATAATGAAGCTCTGAATATAATCGACCTTGAATAATTTGCGTATTAATATCGACCCTATATATGAATATTCATTACCTAACGTCTTGTTACATCATTCAGATGTTATGCTAAACGCCTACAATTCTAATAGAAAAATGGCTAACAAATATAAAAGGCTACTAAATAGACACGTGTCTAGTATTTGTATAATTACTACACTTTTGCATTACATTCATTTGATCTGTTACATAATCTTCTAGGAACAATAAGTTTCAATTAAAAAAATGACAGTAAAATAGATATTTTACAAGAATAAAACGTAGGCTCTAATTAATTAGCAGTGGTTGAATGTAAAGAGCCGATACCATATGATCATAGTATTATTTTTCAGGGTATAAAAACTTTAAAAATGACTTCAAAATCCGGTACAAAACAGAGTGGACGCGGAGATGTAGGAAGCAATAGTATTGTAAACATAACAAGCAGCAATGAAGACAAAGACAGGATATATACTTATGCTGAAGCCATCAATCTTGCGGGTGAGTACTACGGTTTCAATTGATTGTGTATAAGTGCTATAATGGTACACTTTTATTCTAGAGAACTTAACTTAGCCTCAACGAACGTGCCTAGAGATGAAAAAACTGTGAAGATGAGAATGAGAGACAAACGGTGTAAATCGTATCATACATAATGAAAGACACATCAAGTCTTCACTTCTGTGTTCATAAGTTTTATTCTTCAGTAAGAAGTTTAACAGGCTTGCCTGGTTCGTGTTTAAGTTAATTTCTAAGTTAAATTTGGTTAAAAATAAATCGAATAAACAGAGATTTAAATAAGCTTTTATCGTCTTAAATAAAATATACCACACTTGACAATCTATCCATAAAATAAAAATTAATTCCCATTTGTTAGTCTCGCTAAAACTCAAGAACGGCTGAACCGATATGACTAATTTCTTCAAATATTTGTGGAAGTCCAGGGGAGGTTTAAAGAGTTAGAAAATCAATTTAAGGCGGTGTGGACTTTACCATGTCAGCATATTATTTGTAGAACAAATCACAATAATAACATTTCACATTCAAACTAAGAAATGATGGTTAATTATGCAGAATTTACTAAAACAAAATGCCTGTGGAAGCACTAACCGTGATCTCTCCCTATCCAGGCAATGGGTGCTATAGTCTAGGTCTCCTGGCGACCCTGAGTGTGTGCACGCTGGCGATGGGGGTGGACATGTTCGGCTTCTCCGTGGTGGTTAGCGGCTGCACCTGTGACTTCGGGCTGGACATCAGCCAGACCAGTGTGTTGCTGTCCATGCCTTTTGTTGGTGAGTACTGAGATATTATTATTATACGGTCATTTTTATTTCAGTAAGTTTTGTATTTAGTATAATGTGTCAAGCGTGTCTTTGCATTGTTCTCTCATAGAGACATTGTAGAACATATTTTTTTTAAAAGAGTAACGAATGGAGTTTCTTGCTCGTTCTTCTCCATTCGAATCTACATTTTGGAATGAGCACCTAGCTTCACTGACGGACTGACTGACAGACTATTATATAATTATTTTGTATTTGTTGACATTTCAAAAGTACCAAATTATGGTTTAATTGAAATACATGCTTTGACTTTGACTTTGACTTGCTTATGCATATGAGCCTCTAACATGGCTTGAAACTAGTCGAGTTCCTCATCAAATAATTGCGTGAGTAAGCCATAAAACCTAATAATTATTTTAGATGTCTCATGATAGGTATACTACATACTTGTTTTGTTTTGAGAAACACGTTCGCTTACATAAGGATTATCTCTCGTATTATGACTAACGATTATTGTGATGGAAATAGTAGTCTATAGTCTTCGGATAATTATGATAATAATGTAAAAAGCAAATAGCTAGATGTTAATATATGAAATTGCTCCCTCGTGAGCTATAAGGGATGGAAGAGATTTAGTTTTAAGAGGATGATAATGAAGAGACTGCCTCGTTAGCCCAGTAGTCGCAAGTGCAATTGCTGGGCAAAGGGTCTCGGGTTCGGTTCCCGGGTTGGGCAAAGTATTACTGAGTTTTAAAAAAAATCTCAGTAGTAGCACGGATTTTGGAATTGTCCCCGGTATATGACAGGAGGCTTACCCCCTATTACATAGGACTCATAATATAAATAGTGAACAGTGGGTGTTACATTGTACAGTGACATTTTGTGTCGTAATGTGCACCTTTGCCTACCCCTTCGGGGATAAAGAGCATGATATTATGTTATGTATGGATGAAAATACTTGAGTCTATAAAAGAACTCCAGTTATGTTTGGTTAAATTTTTCAATTATGCACAATATAACATAGTTCTCCTTGAAAAGCTTATCTAAACAAGTATTAAATCAATTTATAGCAAAGCATAGCAAATGCTTGTTGGAACATGTCTACGACATTTATTGGAAAATTGACAGACCTGTAACAAACTGCTTTGAATTGCCTATTTAGTATGTGCTGTGTACAGATTATGTATATGGCCAATTAATTTGAATCCCGAAATCCCAATCCTTTTAGTTCTTTTAAAGTGCTTAAGTAACAAACAGAGACACAAACTCATAAAAATCTAATATTTTCAGGTCCAATAGTAATGGCGTATCCATGGGGCTATATTTCCGACACCCAGGGTCGGAGGAGGAGCCTCCTCATAGCCATGTGGGTCAGTTTCGTGGTGTCCACCATCGGAGCCTTCTCTCCCAACTGGGTGGTGATGGCTGTGCTGAAGTTCATTAGTACTAGCCTGTAAGTAGCAGAAAAAATAAAAAACAATTATAAAGAAACCATAATACCTTGTTAATACCACGTTAATATTCTTATCGAGAAGCGAGTACTGGGTTTCTCGTTTCTGTACTAAAATCGAAGAAGTCTTACTGGTTAAAATACTAGCGTAATACTAACTTAACATTGTACGATTGTTATGGTTAACAATACTAAATGAAAATAATATTAAAGTAGTAATACTTGATGATTTCACCAATAATACGTACAGTAGGTTCGTGATCCATTTCAATATCTACTCGTTTTCGCCATTTGTATAGTCGGATTGTAGTGGATGACTCACTTCTATAATATCTTCTTCATATAGAGCAATTGAAACTCAAATATAGATTATAGCTTGTAAACACAAGACTACAGTATGGAAGTAAGTAAACCCAACAGTGAGATGACTCATTGTGTTATGTCTCCATGAGACAATGCATCAATCACAATACTCGATTTACTGTCCACAGTAAATTACTAAACTTACTTGAAGAGCTCGGCTTGGTTACTTGGAATTACAGCCAATGTTTACCAATAGGCTCGTCCCTGTTACTTCTTGCTATGGTTTTTAGCTGATGTCATTTAGGACGGTTTGTATCTCAAAAATCCAGCAAGCCTTTTTTGGTTGGTCTCTGGATTAAATCTTGGTTCATGGGAGTTGCAGTATTTTGGCAAATGTGTTAAAGAATTAAAGTAGGCAAACTTAATTTAGGATGCCTTTAGCTACATGGAGTGGCGATATCATGAAGGCTGATAGTTGTTAGACGTAAAGAGTTGAAGGTCAAGCTCATTATTAGAGAGTGGATAGAAGCGGGCTGGTGATGATGATGATGGCAAGGACTTCAGGACTACCCGTTATGCTTTTACATTATTGTTTATAGATGTAGCTGTGCCCAATCAGCGTCGTACACGTTGCTGGGAGAGTCCTGCGCAGAGAGAGCCAGAGACGCGTACATGCTGATCATGACCAGCGTCCTAGACTTCAGTTTAGCTGCTTATGTTGGTAAGTAATTTATTATGCTAGCAGATATTATTTGTGAAAGGTTAAATTTCAATCTGAAATACAGATAATATCAACAAAGGTGTTTAGAATTCGAACCCAATTGAGAGTATCTACATTAAAAAAACAATATCTTTTGTCTTAATCACTTATTCACGTCATTAATTACTTTTACAATAGCTAAACAATTTCAGTGATCTATCCATATCTGTTTAAGTATGAAGCTGTTTATTGCGTAATTTTAATAATACTTAAATTTCATTATTTCAGTGGTAGCCTACTTTATCCTAAACTTGGATTTCTCCTACGACATGGGTTTGATCACGTTCACTCCCTGGCGTCTCCTGGCACTCGCTCTGGCACTCCCACTGGGGATTGGTGCCTTTGGGACTCTGTTTTTCTACGAGAGTCCCAAGTTCCTGGTCAATGTGCAGCGGGAGGACGAGGCTGTGGAGAACTTGAGGAAGATGTGGATGAGGAATAACGGGAGGGGAGATAAGTACCCGGTGAGTTATAAAGAGGGTGAAATTGAAAAGAACGTTCTCGCTTAAAATCTAGAATCTGTGTTCCCTAAATAGCAAAAAATTTTGATCTTCTATTGCAAGGAAATTAATCTATCAATTTATCAAAAGAAGTGAAACATGTTAGTAATACATCGATAGTTACCTACTATTTTAGGAAACACATGCATGTCGTTATTTGTGTCTATTAGTACCACAGATATTTTTAATATTTCTGTGATTAGTGCCAAACCCGTGAACCGAGGTCGTTGGTAGATTTGAGATGATGTTGTGATGAGAATCTAAAATACCAATATAACTTCTTAAATCTTAATAGACTTCGGGGGAATGGTGATAGTAATTCCAAATTCTGGATTTCAGGTAAAGAAAATAATTCTGAACGAGATAGGCAACGAGCGTCGCAAGGATGTGTCCCTGGTGCAGTCACTCTGGGAACAGATAGTGCCTCTGTTCAAGCCTCCCCTGCTCTGGAAGAGCATCATGCTGTACTTCTTTACTGCCGTCATATTCAGCACGTGAGTCCATTTTTACATTTATAATTTCGCAAAGGATAATTAAAGGTAATTATATAGGTCGCATTTAGATTTAGACTCCAAGTTGACCGGAAAACTGCACCTTATGTTCTTTGTTCGCGGAACGAGGGGACTGGGATGTCGTCTCCTCCTTTTGCGAAGCAGTTATGCTAGCTAAGGAGGAGACGGGGCGCATGAGGCAGCGAAGCGCTGCCTCCTCACAACCCAGTCGTCGCGAAGGACACTCCGGGCGTCGGGGATCGCGAGACGATCTCCGGCCACCGTAAGCACGGGCCTGCGGACGACGCCACCAGACCACCGCGGATGGGGCTCAATAGGGCTATATACCGAAACGGAGCCGCGGAGTTCGTTCGAAGAACGAGTTACCGGGGCTCCGGCCCGAAGTGCAGGAGTAGGAACGGGGTGGTTTTTAGTCAGTAATAGCCTGACGCTCCCTTCCGTCTCACCCAAGCGGAAGAAGTAATGCGACGATGCCCCCTTAAAAAATGTTCTTTGTTCAGAACTGAATGTTTATTTTTATTAAAATAAAAGTATGAACGCACACAGGACAGAGTAAATAGTCGAATTAACAAAAATACACATATTTGAGGATCTAATTCAATATGCAACGGTATCCACTAAAATGAATTAAAAATATTTTAAAATCATATTTATTTTTGCAAACGGGTTATAAAGTAACACTTTTACACGTTGATATTTAAATTAAACTAATTATTTAATACTTACTTTTTTTATGTCGTACTCGTTTTTCACATAATAGTCTGATAATGTTCCCTTACTTTCCAGTAACAACAGCTACTTCATCTGGTTCCCATACCTGGCGGAGAAGTTCGCAGCCGGCCTGGACTCCATGACCCACTCTGATCAGACCGGGCTCTGCAACATGATCGTTAGCAATAACAACGTCACTGCTGCTAATGTAAGTATAGACTTTATTATTTTTTGTCATACTAACTTATTTAGGAAGATATAGAGAACTGTGTGTGTTGAGAGTTGTGACAGGAACACCAAAAAAGAAATTTGAAACATAGTACCAGTTTATGAACTTACACATAACATTAACATAACAACACGCCTTTTATCCCGAAGGGCAGAGGTGTAAATTAGGGCACTTAATACCACTGTACAACGTAACACCCACTTTTCACTATTTATGTTATGAGTCCCATGTAATGAGTCTATTGCCATATACCGGGCACAATTCCGGACTCCGTGCTACTATTGAGAATTTTTTAAAAACCTAGTAATATTTTGCCCGACCCGGGCATCGAACCCGAGACCCCTTGCCCGGCGTCGTACTTGCAACCACTCGGCCAACGAGGCAGTCTTTTTGAACTTACCTACGTAATTTAAATAGCAATATAAACTGAGCAAGATGTTAGATGCAAATAATCTGTAAATAATGCAATGTTACATCAATGTCTTCTATTTCGGCAATGACAGGACGGTATCAGAACTAGAATCTAAATATAAAACATCTTGAAATCGTGCTTCTGTGGATATTAACATTTTTATCCACAAAAACTGTATTTTTGTCATAATATAACTGTGTACCGGTTGTAATAGATAACGTCACACCTGTTCATTATAATATGCCCATATAATTAGTACTGGGCACAATTCCAGGTATTGGACATTTTATCAACCAAGTATGTAATATCAGAAACTGAAACCAATATCGAACCTGAAAGGTCATGTTCGCTGATCACTTGTAAAAAAACACTTTCATTGTAACGACACCTTTGCTTCGAATTCACAATTTTTCTAATTCGTAATTAATTTTTGAGTGTTGGCTGAATCATCACGCTAATTATTTATTAGTAACTATGTTCATATTTATATACTATGAATCTATGTATGTATGTATGAATGTATAATTATATTAATGTACTCGTGTTCATATCTAAAATATGTTTAGTAAAATCTTCTATTTGCTCAATTAACTCGTCGGGTACCGTATTTATAGACACAATTAAAGAACAATAGGTCGCGGTCACCGGTGTCCTCGTGGTGTTTGACAGTTTAAATCGTTGCTTGTTTCTTGCCCCTACCATTAACTCTTCTCTGCATCACACAAAGGTCAGACTGGGAGAAAATGCCTGCGGCATTAAGTCCACCTTGTTTTTTTTTTTTTTTTTTTTTTTTTATAATTGATGGGGCGACGTTTGACCACTATCTCACCTGTTGGTAAGCGATGATGCGGTCTACGTTGGAGCACGTCGTCCCATAAGCAACCTATTCACTCGGGCCTTGAAGACTCCCAGGTTATACCCTTCAGGAAATACAGACTCTGGCAAAGAATTCCACTCTTTAGCAGTACGCACAAGGAAGCTTGAAGCAAAGCGCTTCGTGCGTGTGGGCGGAACATCTACCATGAATCGGTGACGCTTCGCGGATTGTCTTGTGGTACGATGATGGAAAGGACTAGGGGGAATCAAGTTGTGCAATTCCCCCGCACACTCCCCGAAATGTATCCGGTAGAAAACCGAAAGGCTTGCAACCTTACGCCTGTGTTCGAGGCTTTGAAGCCGAGCCTTCACAAGCGCATCATCGTCGATGAGCCTCCTGGCACGCCTCTCAATGTGCTCTAACGCGTCCAGCTGATATTTAGCCGAGCCGTCCCAAAGATGAGAGCAGTACTCCATACAGGACCGAACCTGTGCTTGGTACAGGCTCAGCAATTGTTTCGGCGTGAAGTACCGTCTCACCCTCCAAAGGACACCCAACTTCCTACCAGCCAGTTGCGCTTTTGACTCTATATAGGAGCCAAAGTTGAGCGTGGGCGTCAGAGTTACACCAAGAAGCTCAAGACGATCGGTTATCGGTACGGATACATTCCGGAAAGTAGGAGTCAGCGGAAATTGACTCCGTTTGGCGGAGAATAGACACGCCTGGGTCTTGCTAGCATTGAACCTAACCAAGTTGGCGTCACCCCAGTCGGACACCGCCTTCAAGGTCGAGTTCAAACGTTCGACCATGGATTCTCTTAAAGACTGGATCTGTGTTCCGCTAGTCCGCGCACCGGACACATACCTTTCAACAACTGTGCTGTCATCTGCATACCCAAAGATACCGGGCTTAAGCAGGTCGTTTATGTGCAGCAAAAAGAGCGTCGCTGAAAGTACTGACCCCTGAGGGACGCCGGCATTAATACCGAATTGGTCAGACGAGCAGCCATCGATGACTACTCGTATTGACCGATCCCTCAGAAAGTCTGCTATCCATCTGCACAGACCAGTAGGAAGTCCATATGCAGGAAGCTTGCCGATTAGACTGTCGTGCCATACCATGTCAAAGGCCTTCGAAATATCGAGGGAGACTGCTAGTGCCTCTCCGTGCCCCTCTATGGCCTCGCTCCATATGTGAGTGGCATACGCAAGAAGGTCCCCAGTCGATCGGTTACGTCGAAACCCGTATTGCCGATCGCTGAGGAGATCGTTACCTTCAAGGTATGCCAGGAGTCTATTGTTAAGAACACGTTCCATGCTCTTGCAGAGTATGGACGTGACCGAAATAGGGCGGTAATTGTTAGGGTCGGCACGACTACCTTTTTTAGACACAGGCTGTACGTTGGCCAGCTTCCAAGCAACCGGTACTAGACCCGTCTCCAAGGAAAGGCGAAACAGACGTGTCAAGATTGGAGACAACTCAGGCGCACAGGTTTTTAAAACCAGGGCTGGGATTCCGTCGGGACCACTGGCCTTGTTCACGTCCAGATCGCGTAGCGTCCTATATACCTCCCTCTGTCGAATGCGAATTTGCGACATATTCGTCTTGCATACGCTATTAACAGAAGGAGGCAAGGCGCCACCAGTGTCAAGACGCGAAGACTCCGCAAATAGAGAAGCAAATAGATTTGCTTTCTCTACCGCAGTGTGAGCCAGCGTCCCGTCAGACCTCAGGAGCGGAGGAAGTGAGGAGCGACAGAAGTTCGATTCAACCGCCTTGGCCAGGGACCAAAAAGCTTTACTTCCCGCTGGGTAGGAAGCTAGTTTGTTCCCTATACGGCCAATGTGGTTAAATCGAGCCATCCGTAATGCCTTTTTGCATGACTTGGCAGCCCGATTAAAGGCTCTCTTCTTTTGATGAATGTCATCAGCCCTACGGCGCCTGGCATCCGCCCATGCCAAGTATGCCGCCTGCTTTTGCGCTTCGGCACGTCCGCAGTCGGCATCGAACCAAGGACGGGTCCCACCAGAGGATGCCACGTCCGAGAATGGAATGTAGTATTCCATGCCCTGGCGCAGCACCCCCGTTACGGCTTCCGCACAAGCTGACGGGTCATCAGAAGAGAAGCAGACAGGCCGCCAAGGATAGGAAGCGAAAAAAGATCGCATCCCATCCCAGTCCGCTGACTTGTATCGCCACATCCGCCGAGGTCCTCTGGGACTCGGATCTGGTGGGGAGTGTGTCGATACAGATTTCACCAGACAGTGGTCAGAGCTACCTAGAGGTGATGAGACTGTCACCGAGTAGCGGTCTGGATCAGTTGTCAGCAGAAGGTCTAAGCAATTGGCAGTGTGCGTATCGACATCGGGCACCCTTGTGGCTTCCTGGACCAGCTGGGTCAGGCCAAGCGAAAGCGCAAGCTTACGCATTTCCCTTCCAGCATGGTCGGTGCACTGGTATGGGAATAACCACTCCTGATGATGAGCGTTAAAGTCCCCCAGTAACACCAACTGGGCCGAAGGGTACGCCTGACGAGCCGCATCCGCCGCTTCGCCGAGGTATTGCGCTAATCTGGTCGCCTCCAAATCTCCGCTGTGCGACCGATAGACACAGGCATAAAGAATTTTCTCCATGCCTATGTCCACCAGTATCCAGAGAGCAGAAAAGCTTGGGTCTTCAAGGTTTCGGAGACGCCGGTAACAGATGCCGTCTCGGACGTATACGCATACACCTGCATGCGGAACAAAATTGTGCTCCAGGGAAAAACCAGGGTAGTTCAGGTAGGATACGTCCGACGGGCACCTGATCTGGGTCTCCGAGAGAAACAAGAGTGTAGGGTTCTCGGTCTCGAGGTGGTGATGGACCGCATTGACATTAGAGTGCAAACCTCGAATATTTGAGAGGTGCACTATGTAGGAGAGGGAGTGCAGCCGCTGTTGAACCCTTTTCTTATTTCTCAGTGTCATAATGTAGAGTGGAAGGTTGCTGAGAGGATGGCAGTGAAATGGTCCCCCACGCAGGCGACCCCACGACGCGCACCGTAGTTAACCTCACCATTGGGAGGCCAGTCTGGAGACTGCGGGGACGCCCGAGCCCCCCCACGAATATCCATCGGGCCCTCTCCTCCGGTCGCCAACCGGCACGATGGCGTATCCATGGGATTTTTCGCTAGATGGCGGGGCAGCCTTTCACGTGTGGCTAGCACGCTAGTTGGGCCCCCAACTATCTGCGGTCGGCCAGCGGTGCACCGTGCCTCGGATCCCGCTACCCTCCGCGACTGGACACCCGGTGTAGCTACACCAGCGCGCGCCAGACCGGCTATCCTACAGTGGAACAACCATCTCGACCCATCCTCTCATACGGCGTCACCGAGCATCGTGGCGGAACACGGCTGGGCCGCTTGGCGACACGCTTTTGCTCGATGGGTGGTCATAAAGCCGGCGGCCGAATCCTACCACCAAAGTGTCACCTGGTTAGCACCACCCAGAGGCCACGTGTAGGGATATTGATTTTGGGGTGCTCTCCTACGGACGAAGGTGACTCAGCCTCCAAACACTTTGTGCATGAAGCGTTAATATTTTTTTATGGTTAAAACCGGTAATTGAGCAGACGGATCACCTGATGGTAAGCAATCGACGTCGCCCATGGACACCTGGGACCTAGAACACCAGAGGCGTTACAAGTGCGTTACCGGCCTTTTAGGGATTAGGAGTTTAAGGATCGTTGGGGATTCAGGAATTGGGGAGATTGAGAAAGGGGAGGGTAATTGGGCCTCCGGTAACCTCACTCACACGACGAACCACAACGCAAGCGTTGCTTCACGTCGGTTTTCTATAAGGCCGTGCTATTACTCCGGTCGAGCCAGCCCATTCGTGCCGAAGCATGGCTCTCCCACGCTTAAATAAATATTTTTTGTCTACAGTACGAATGCAAATCCACAATGGACATCAGCCTAGTATGGGCCAGTCTAGCACAAGGAGTAACCTTCGTGATCATTATGCTAGTCATCACAAAGCTAGCATACAGGAAGAAAGCGCTGATGATCATCATCATGACGTTCTCTGGACTGTCAGCCATCGCTGCTGCTCTTGTCAAGGAGAACCTGACTAGTTTTGTCATGTTTTTTGGTCTGTTGACAAATGAGCTCTGTATTGGAATTATTTATACATATTTTGTGGATATGTATCCGACTTCTTACAGGTAAGTAAAAATCTATTTATCAGTTACGGTTAGCTTCTATTTTTTTACTTTTCTTCACACAAACTTTATATTGATAAAGTGTCAGATCAATGTATTTTGTAATATTTAGTAGTGTTAAAAAATAAATCAATTAATATAATGTAAGGTTAATCGGTCGTGGTGGCCTGGAGGTTTAAGAGGTTTCTCATGCATGAGGGTGCGGGTTCGAAACCTACCAACGGCAAGTACCAATGTGACTTTTTCCGAGTTATATGGACTTTCTACTTTCTAAGATTATTCAGACACCTCTGACAAACGGTGAAGGAAAACATCGTGAGGAAACCTATGCTTATAATTTCTAATTATAGGTTTGTAATCGCCAACCCGCATTGAGCAAGCGTGGTGATTAATGCTCAAACCTTCTTCTCTGTGTGAGAAGAGACTTTGCACAGCAGTGGGTGAATGAAGGTTAATCTGTAGCTTAAAAATACCTGTTGATCAGTCGACTATAAAAAGATTCCAGGTTCAAACTTCATATTAAAAGAAACTGTATTGCAGCTAATATACCTGATAGCAACCAAAATTAATAACACAAATAATCACCTTAATGCCTTGCTCTAAAATGTTTCCTATCTCTGTATATTCTCTGTCCTACAACTTTGCGCTTATATTTCCTACAGGGGCATGGCAGCGTGTATCGGCGTGATGGTGGCTCGCCTGAGTGCTCTCGGCGGGGTGAACGTCCTGGGAGCCTTCATCATGACACACTGTACCACCATGTTTTATGCGTGTGGGGCCCTTATGTTAGGTGGGTACCTCATATTATATATATATCGGAATAATAAGTTGCGTATTATATTAATGTGTTTGTTTCTTTGTTACAGTTGCAGCTGTGTTCTCATTCCTACTACCACCGGATATACGGAAAAAGTAGTCAAATATTTCATAGTTTTAAGAGTATTCATCTATTTTGTAAGTTTTTGTGTAAATAAATATGATTCCAAAGATTTATTCGATTTTTATTACCATTGTATCTTACTAACTCTTTGTTCCGCTTTCACGCCGTAACTACTAAACCGGTTGCTTTGAATTTTTGCAGACGTAAAGTTAGAAGTCCGGATTAAATAATAGGGTACTTTTATCCCGGAAAAATTTGATATTTCCGAGGGAAAACAAAAATATCGGTATAGATGGCGCTGTGTGTATTGGTATAGATGGCGCTGTATGCCATTTAAAACCAGTTAACGAATTACCTACTTATTGGAAAAATCTAAATAGCGCGATATAACCGAATTCAAGGCGAGCGGAAAGCTATTTGTTTGTTTGCCTGTCTTAAACGGCAGAACGGAGGTACTAATTAACGTGATTTTTTAACTGAAGGTAGTTGAAGGGATGGATAGTCACATAGGCTACTTTTTATCCTTTCGTGACGCGAGCAAAGCAGCGGGTAAAAGCTAGTAAGTATTATAAATGTGAAAATTTATGATTTTGTGTGTTTGTATGTATGTTTGTTACTTAATCACATCAATGAAGGAATCGGATCAAACAGAGATAGATTATGATCCGTAATAACACATTAGTACTTGTTACCCCACTTTTTAGTTTACTCCCACGGGAATGCGGGCGAAACCGCGAGCCGAAACAAGTTCTTACATAAATCAGATTAGCATAATTAAAGAAGGGCCAAATTAAAAGTACTTTTTACTTTAGCATGCATGAAAAGGTTGATGACTGTTGATGAAGCGAAAGAGGTATGTAGGAATCGTAGCATTGGCGTTCCATAGTCTCTGCCTTGTCCTATGAGAAACAGGCGTGAAGTTACGTGTGTATGTATGTTGTACCTCAATGATTAACTAACCGGTTATTAGAGCATCTCATATCAACAGCCTATAAATGCCCACTGCTGAGCAAAGCCTCTTCTCACACGGAGAAGGTTTGAGCATTAATCACCACGCTTGCTCAATGCGGGTTGGCGATTACAAACTTATAATTAGAAATTATAAGCCCAGGTTTCCTCACGATGTTTTCCTTCACCGTTTGTCAATGATGTCTGAATAATCTTAGAAAGTACATATAACTCGGAAATAGTCACATTGGTACTTGCCGTTGGTAGGTTTTGAAACCCGCACCCTCATGTATGAGAAGCGGGCGTCTTAAACCTCCGGGTCACCACGACATGAAGAATGGCTCACCCACATATGAAATACATAAAGATACCCAGCACTATAACATGAGTTGATCATGTGTCTCCCTGACTCTGTTTCATAAGTGGTAATCAGATATCTGATCTGTCCCAGATCAATATATTTATCGTTTATCTAGTTTTCATTCTAGTTTTAGGATGGACAATATTATCTGAATGTTACAGTACACTTGTAAATAGATTACTAGACAGATAGGTAAGTACTTATTTATCTAAATGGATCGAAGATGTCATCTCAATGTCTTATATTGACCTGTCGCGGAGAACCTAACGGGTAACCGGGGCTCCGGCTCGACGTGCAGGGGAAGGAACGGGGTGGTTTTTAGTCAGTAAGAGTCTGACACTCCCTCCCGTCTCACCCACACGGGAGCAGTCATTCGATGATTTACCCCCCTGAAAATAATTTCTTATATTGACTTGAATACTAATACCAATCGATCTGGTTATTAATTATTATGTTTTTGGCTTACCCACGTAACTTTTTGATGATGAACTGCCAGGAGTCGCCGCGTCGCGGATCGCGGAATGCTACTCGTGAATATGCTATGCGCTTCTAGCATGGCCTGAAGCTAGTCGAGCTCCTCGTCTCTCTCGTCGACTGCCTCATTGGCCGAGTGGTCGCAAGTGCGACTGCCGGCCAAGCAGTCTCGGGTTCGATTCCCGGGTCGGACAAAGCATTACTGGGTTTTTAAAAATACTCAGTAGTAGCACGGAGTCTGGAATTGTGCCCGGTTTATGGCAAGAGGCTCACCCCCTATTACATGAGACTCATAACATAAATAGTGAAAAGTGGGTGTTACATTTAACAGTGGCATTAAGTGCCGTAATGTGCACCTCTGCTTACCCCTTCGGGGATAAAAGGCGCGATGTTATGTATTACTATGTTTCACGTCTGTCTGGTTGTCTTGGAATAGTATTGTTTCTTTATGTCGTAAAGGAACTTTGGGATGTGTGTACACTACACGTTCTTTTTTTTTAAACGTTGTACACAAGGATTTGCTCCTGTACCGTGGGTGCGTTTACAAACATACAACATCACATATGTATATGTGACAGTCAGAACCGAAACAACATTTCATTTCATTTCATTCAAGTATTTATTAAACAATTTGCATTGTATCTGAATGTCTTCATAGTCATAAATTACATTGCAATATAAATCCCTGCAGCATGGATCAGTCAAATCATTTAGGAAAGGAAAAAAACTTAAAAGAAAAATTAAAATAATAATAAAACGAGAAATAAATAAAACATATATAATATACATAAAATAATATAAATACAATAAATATAACATAACAAAAATTACATAAGAAAGAAATTACATAATTAACCAATTTGTCGATCACACAAAGAGTTGCTCTGTGCGGGGATCGAACCCGCTACTCGATACTCGGCAGCCGGTTACCCAGCTACTGCGCTAACAGTGTAGTCAATATGTTATGTTGTAAATGTTTTTTTTTTTAATTTAAAGCCTTCTTTGTAATCATATTGCAAAGAGGAATAACTGATTTGGTTGGATTACCAAAAATTTTGAATCTCCTATATCTCTATTCTTTGATGACTCCATGGCAACACGAGCATAACCAGAGTAGTAAAGCTCGTTGATCTTATTGGTAAAACGGAACATGATTTTATTTTTATGCAAATACAGCGCGAGTGCTGATAAGATTTTATTTTCTATGTCTGGGAAAATTTGGATGTAACCAAAGTATCACATAAATCTATATAACTATTCCCTACGTATATAATTATTATATTACATTAGTGTGACCTTTAGATTTACTACTAAAAAAACTATACATAGTTTAACCATTACCTACAAGAAAACATTGGTTCTATATGCAGTAATGGACGTTTAGTAACTGGTACAACATCCAATTCAATTTACTTCAAAACATTTATAGAATACTAGCTTTTGCTCGCGGCTATCGTTAAATTTGGGGTAGGACGGTTCCCCTGTCTTGAACACTTTAGCTTTGTCAACTTCTGGGAGCGGTCCGTTTACACTCTGTAATGTAACACACTTGTCAGATGGGTTGAAGATTGCTGTCCATTACTTAGGATTAGGTTCAGTATTTATTTATTAGTATAAGGTCAATAGAATATGCAATCACTTAGTATGCTCTTACGGTGCCCGCGGGAAGACTAGGGGTTGTCATAAATCACCACACAGAAACTAGTCTCTCATAAATAATAAAATAAAATGTAAATAAACAGAAAAAATGGCAACAGTCTTTGTCAAACGAGCGATATCGTAACGTTGAGATAAGTTGACCTTCTACTCAGTTCGCGTTGATCAGTCGATCGTACGACGCTGAATACGAAAGACCTTACTTATTAAAAACTAAAAAACCTGAATAAATAATACTATTATCATAATTACGTTAGTTCAAACTGTGTCAAAGTGATTAACTAATAGAAAAACAACGAAAATGGTGTCTAATATTTTGAAGAAATAGACTTATTTCTCATAGTGATCTAAGTTCTTCTTTAACTATTAAATTAGTTTTAAATAAATCAATATGGTTACTAGATTATTACAATAAAATTATTTACTCTAAATAAAATACAATAGGTAAATAATAACATAAATACGTTAAAAAGTATAATATTTAAAGATTAAGTTTAAAAAATGGCGCCGTCAAAAAATAGTTACGTGTTTAACAAAAAGGACAACGACGACAATAATATAGAAATGAGTGGTTCTAAGATAAGTAAACTACAATACAGCTATGAAGAGGCCTTGGAAATAACTGGTAAGATACTAATTAACTAACTAACTATACTTAATTGGCATTACTTAGTGGCTACTTAAAAACTTGCCTTACAATCAACGACAAAGGTTGTAAATCAAATGCTCAATCCTTCAAGAAAAGAGCGTAAACCTTTTTAAAAGGCCGGCAACGCACCCGTGGCTCTTCTGGTGTTGCGGGTGTCCATGGGCGGCGGTGATCGCTTACCATCAGGTGTTCCGTCTGCTCGTTTGCCTCCTATTCCATAAAAAAATATTGTTACTCACTGGGTCTACAAAATTAACAAATGCCTTCTAATGGCAACCTTTCTTTGAGGATTGCAAATCGTGGTATGGCTCCTCTCGCCTTCAATGAGGAGTATCAGACTTCCACTGACTAAAACCATCTCATTCCAACTCCTATTCTACCTATGGCTAGTATTCTGTGCTATGGATGAGTTCTAACTGTGGCTTGCCTCGCCCACAATCACGAAATACCAATAATAAGACATTATAATTCTGCACTTTAATTGCTAAAAGAAAAAGTATTCTATATGAACAGGAAACTAGCTATGCTTGTTAAAGTACAACTATATTTTGTTAATTATCAACTGTAGAGGAGATGTAGAGTGGGAGTGTGGGAGAGCCAAGCTTCGGCACGAATGGGCCGGCTTGAATGGATTGATACCACGGTCTCACAGAAAACCGACGTGAACCAACGCTTGCGCTGTGTTTCATCGTGTGAGTGAGGTTACTGGAGGCCCAATTACCCCTCTCCCCCTTCTCAAATCTCCTCAATTCCTGAATCACATACAATCCTTAAATTCCTAATCCCCAAAATGCCGGTAACGCACTTGTAACGCCTCTGGTGTTATGGCTGTCCATGAGCGACGCCGCTTACTTACCATCAGGTGCTCTGTCTGTTCGTTTACCGGCTTATACCATAAAAATGATGTCCCAGGTTGGAGAGCAAATAAGTCATGTGATAGTAGAGATGCTCCAAAGCAAAACACTTGTTTTGGAGCATCCCTATTCTCCCCGCGGGTGTAAAAGTCAAATTAATAAATTCAATACTTATGTAGATTAGCACTTTCTATTATAGATTTATAAAACAAGAACGAAAGTGCATAATTTTGTTGATAAATGCTTTCGTTTAATTTATTTACATTTCTAAAATAAATATTTCTAAGCCAAAAACTGAAATAAACAATAGAGACCGCTAGGTAATAAATAACCTAGTTGGAAGAACCAATTACTGTTGATGACATTCGCTATTATGTCGTAACTGCATAATAGTACTTTACTAAAATATAAATTAGGACGAATGATAAAACCGAGGCACTTTGAGGTAGTTCGTCTATCTTTTACCCGCGGCTTTGCCCGCATGTTTTATCTCATGGGAGCGTTTAATCAGGATAAAAAGGATATCCTATCACCTAAGTCAGCTCATACACTGCCTGTACGTCATATTTCGTCAAAATCTGTTTAGTAGTTTTAGCATGATTGACGGACAGACATCCAAACAAAGAAACTTTAATATTTAGTGTGATTTATTTATCTCGATATCCCAGAAACATTCTCGTCTATAGCGTATAGTATTACTGTGCATTTCTGTGATTTACAGAATAAAATCATTAGGTTTTTTATTTTTAACGACAGTACATACCAATAGTATCTTACTTATACAATCTAAGATATACGTGAAGGAGTAAGTAATAGAAATATACCGATAATGAGATATTATCTGAAGTAAATAATTATTTTATAAAATACGTTTAAAATAACCGATTTCAGCCCCTCTTTATTTTTGGTCGGTTAATTAATATACTAAAACCTTCTCCTAAGTGTAACAAACACTTATGAAACAACCGCAGCAAAATTGGTTCAGCCAATGGCGAGGTAATCGCGCACAAAGATACATACAGGTCCAATTGAGAGGTTCTCAATCTCTTTTATTGAAGTCGGTTAAAGATACTCCCCACATCTCTTGATATGATAATAGGCTCACCGCATCTGGTGATAGTGTGTGTTACGTTGCATGTATGCAACTCTCCCGCATTAGCAGTTACTGTCGTGTCGTGAGTGTGTGTTTACATACACTTTCACAACACACCCAGACCTCTTGAAACAATGTCAATGCAATTTCAATCCAATAAAATGACAATAATTATTCAATGTCAAAACTATACAACCCCTATCGTAGCTGTTGAAATAGCGTTCAGAATACGGAATATAAAGCCAAACTTAATAATACCATTTAGTTCATTAAATATCCACGCAATACGGATGCAATGGGCGTTAGTGTTGCAACTTAAGAGTACGAAATTTTACAATACCATTGTCGATTGATCGGTGTTGAATACAAGAGTAAGCTCCCTGAAACGGACTACTTGATAAAAGAATCCTACTATCCTACTTATATTACAAATGCGAATGGTTATTTGTTTGTATATTACTTCTTCACGTCATAGCGGCTGAAGGGATCGAGATGAAACTTGAAACAGGGGTAGGTTATGGTTTGGAATAACACATAATATACCTACCAAGGGGACGCGAGAGAACCCGTTGGCAGAAGCTAGTAATTTATATCGTTAAATCTATATTATTTCTTTAATAAATAAAGCCATGCTTACGTAAAGTATTCTTTACATAACCTGTCACTAATAACTATAAATAAAAACTAAATTATTATATAAATTGGAGTATACAAAAACACAGTACAGATTTTTATTTAACGACAACTTTTTACAATAATATCGTAATATATTATGCACGTACGTTGTATATAAACCTCTATGAATTAATAAAATATAGTTTTACAATTTGACATTTAAAAAAAAATTAATAATATCATGCAAATGGCTTCTGAATTATACATACATACATCGCTGCACGTGACTTAAAAAACGTGAGATCAAAAACCAAACTGGTTTTCGTTTTGAGATGCTGTTTTTTCGCAAACAATTTTTGCGAAAAAACTTTGGGAATGCCACTTTAATAGGTCGAAATCAACTTATAAAATATCTTTCAAAAGAATAGTTGTATTTATTTATTATGTATAAAAAATATTAAATACTAATTGACCCGGCAAACTTCATTCCGCCTAATATTATTTTACTAACTTTTCAAACCTTTCCTGGAACATTTCAAGACCAAAATTATCCAAATCGGTTCAGCCGTTCTCGAGTTTCAGCGAGATTAACGAACAGAAGTTAATTTTTTTATATAGATATTGCTCGTCAGTATAATCTTGAGAGCAACAACCCCATTTAGTGATATTAATTACCTATATTGATAATATAATGGCATTTTAATGTAATAACAATGAAAATGTTTTGTTGCAAACGAACTTGTATATAAATATTTTAAAATCTTGAAAATATATATTTGCTGTATAGCTCAAGTATTCACAATAAATATAAATGCTAAAGAAATCAGCAGGGACCCCTTTTCTATAGTAAAATTTGCATTGCAGTAATCTTAAAAATATAAATTGAGGTAAAAGTACATCTAAGTTGAGGAAGCTAAAATTCTTTGGCTTCCTCAGCTTAGATGTACTTTTACATCTGCCTTTTACTCTGCCTACCCCCATGGGAGACAGGCGTGTGGTTATCTCCCATGTATGAATGTAGCGCGAGTTTTGCACTTATGGTCTTAAGTTTGGTCCTCTAATTGTTATTTTTATTATATTTTTAGAAATTCAACAATAAGCGTGGACATTATTAGTAACATTATCATGTTTGTCAGATATTTGAGTACGTAAATCATTCAAATCCTTAATAATCAAAACGCTATATAAACATAACACAATACAAAAATACTATATATTTTCTTGGCACTCTTATATACACAATATACAATACACCCAAATGCATTTAATTATGACACTGTTTACGAATTTTATAAATATCAGTAGGTAAGTATACTAAAGTGCAATGACCCCTAATGAAATTGTAATACGCAGGCTTTGGTATCATTAAAACCGCATTTTAAATGAGTATAAACTACCATATATTATTACATACATATAATATATATTTGTGTTATGGTATACTATACCTTTATATGTATATGCAGCGTATCCAGTTTTGTGATGAAAGGTATACAGGTTTGGACCCAAACACTGCATAAGGAAACTTGAAATATAAAATCGAATCGTAAACAGGTTTCGTTAGTGATTACCTGATTATCCTGACATATAAAATAAATAAATAAACACATACATAGCAACATCATATCTCTTATTCCGCAATATTACAGATACTGGCGGTATGTCAATCCTTTGTATCTGTATATAATAATCTAATACCATTTTGCTGGAGTTTTGAGATAGGTAGATTAAGTGTGGGAGAGCCATGCTTCGGCACAAATGGGCCGGCTCGACCGGAGTGATACCACGGCCTCACAGAAAACCGACGTGAAGCAACGCTTGCGTTGTGGTTCGTCGTGTGAGTGAGGTTACCGGAGGCTCAATTACCCTCCCCTTCCCCAATCTCCCCAATTCCTGAATCCCCAACGATCCTCAAACTCCTTATCCCCAAAAGGCCGGTAACGCACTTGTAATGCCTTTGGTATTTCAGGTGTCTATGGGTGACGCCAATTGCTTACCATCAGGTGATCCGTCTGCTCGTTTACCGACTTATGCAATAAAAAAAGGTTCAACCCAATTATATAGAGGTATAGGCAACATTGACGCAAATGTGATCAATAATGACATCAGATTAGTGATTATATATTGCTCTAACTAAAAATTGATATTCAAAAAACTATCAATATTTTTTTTCAATCTGGGGTCCGAGTAAATCCTTGATCTATACTATAGCAATGGTTGTAGTAACCATGAATAATCCAACAACAGTGTGATGCTAAAATATAATTATAGCAATATATTCTAGCCTATAACGTCTGGGTCTATTGAAAGGAGAGACGGTTAACACTCCCATTGACAAGGACGGAACACAACTTTCTCACATTTTTTGCCGCGGAGAACTTAACGGGTTACCGGGGCTTCGGCTCGAAGTGCAG